CCAGACCTGGCTGCAGCCAGAAGGGATCTCGTGAGGCAGGGTCAGGGCATTCCTTTCTGACTCACAACCTCTACTGTGAGCATCATTGCTTTCAGTAGCCTTCTGATCGGAGATGCTTGATTTATTTTTATAAGTTGTGTTGAACGGGAAGCAGCGTGTACGCTCCTTCACAGCTGGAAGCTGTGGCTATGTGTAGTAGGTAGTCTTCTAAAGCCCAGTTTACAACAAAACAAAAACCTCACCAAAACCAGGAGCTTACGAAGGACTGCCTGACACATCGCTTTGTTGCTAGCCACGTGAAACTTACTGGCAGGCCAGATATACGTGAGCTCGTTCCCTAAGCCTGGTCTAGATGACCCGGGGCATGGGAGAGAAACAGGACTGCTAATTTAGGCTATGCATGGAAAACATACTGGCCTTGTTTAGTAATGCAACGAATATTTTGTAATTTTCAGGATACGTTCTCACAAACGGATTCATTTATAGATGAAGAGCTAAACAAACAGCTTCAACAACACATCAGTGAGACTGTTGTTCACAAACCCTTGGATTTTGCTAAACACTTGAAGGAATCATCCTTGTCGTAAATGCATCTATCAGTCACGTTCAGTTGGCTTCTTAGTTACGGAGAAAGATTGGCTGAAAGGAATCTCCACTCGTCATTAAAGGAATTCAAGTAGGCTTTTGATTGAATACAGAAACGCACAGAAGATGTAACAGCGGTTTTTCACACAGAGTTACAAGGCCTCTCCACTTAACCACCGAGCCCACGTTCTCAGGGCTTGGCAACTACAATGAACAGTCACATCAGTAATTTAAAAAGATACAAAACCAGGTCATTTTAAAATTGTTTGCAACCATGCATTATAGTATTTTTGTTTATGTATTTTCTAATTTTTATAACAGAATATAGACAGATGTGTTTCTGAGAAATCACTGGGTTGTGTTGATAATAAATATTTTGGAAATTTTAATATCATATTGACTTTGATGTTTAAGATACCTAGAGATTTGGAGTATGTATTGCATTTTTTTCTGTTTTCCTTCCGATGTCTCCTAACCATTTATCTCATCTTGAAATGATTTTGCATTTGGTGGGGTTTTTTCCCTCCGATGAATCTTGGTATCGGTAAATTGAGATTACTGAATTCCAGTTCTGAACTATCATCATGATTGAATGCTCTACTACAGTGTCTTCAGTAAACCATCGCTGTCAAGAATACTGGACAAATTCAAGGTAAGAATTTAAATCTTTTTTTTTTCCTTCATTCTCCAAATATTAGTTATTGCCTGGTTGTTTTAGAATCCATTTTCAGCTGCAAGTTGGCTTTGCAAACAGCAAGTAAAATATATTAAATACCTTAAAAGTGAGTATTGGCTTTACCGAAATCCATTCTAGGGGGGAGTGTGGTGGGCTGTCCCTCGCTGGCAGCTAATACGTTTTGTAGTGTTTAGTCTACGATGTGATAATGATACATGTTGTAAGTTTTGCAAAGCTTTTGTTCAAGTCGCTTAACCTCCTTACAATAATCAGAAAATACTTCTTTTTCTCTAGGGTATTTAGTCCTTCATCCTGATTTATGGTTCTCAGATAGTTTTGTAAGTAATTTATTTTTATTTTAATACATGTTTTTAGTATTAATCAGACTAGTTCACCAAATTTCCAGTAGTTAAACATAAATTCACAAACATTTTTGGAATAGACATCTATATTAATGGATTAGAAAATACATATTTTACTATGTGGATTATGAAGCTGCCACATAATACTGATGGTAATACCTGTGTTTCTGTCTGTTTAGGTTGCCATTCCCACAACTTCTGAGGAGTTCTTTTTAGTTGTTAAGTGGTTGCAAATACGGATGTGATTTAAATTCTGAAAATTCCAAGGGGGCCGTTTGCCAGTACTTGGTCAGTTCAGGAAGGCAAAAGCAAAGAGTCAACATCTTAAACCATTTATTTTTTTTTACAACATATACAAATACAAGTTTATTCTTCAAGTCAGCAGAGAGAAAATAGTCCAGGTGGAAAAGTCACTTTTAAAATTGTTCATTTTACATAGTTTCCAAACAATATAAGGACTGGCACGTAGTGGTGGTGCATTGTCAGAATACTTTGACATGCTTTAAGAGGCAGAGGAAGACAACTGTACAACTAAGTCATTCTGAAATATCCTATACGTGTATTGGAGTGAAATCTATTTACTGCTACCGATTTTTGTGTTTAATTCACTAACTCTGCCAAATGTCTATCACTATTGAAGTTACACAATACTTATCGCAGACAGGAAAAACGCCACCGTTGTTGTTACACTTAGTGGGCTACCCTAAAAGTAAACTGAGTTTTCTAGTGGACTGGTAACAGCCAGTGATTAAAAACCAAATGTTAGCTGAAGCATTCAGAGAGCTAGAGCAGAGCAGATAGTTCAGCTTCAGAAGCTGCAGACTCAGGCTTTCACCAAAGTGTAAAGCTACCAGCAAGTTCTTTTTTTAAAGACAAACTATGAATGTAAGAGAACGCGTTCTTGAAATGTTTGGATATTTCCATGTTAAAGTCTTTAATTCTTGAAAGCACGTGGTTTCTAGAAGCAGACGGCTTTCTAAAGATGGCTATTGAGATACTTCATCTAGTAAGATTTGTAAAAATAACGTGACTAGGTTTTAAAAATTAAAACTGACATAGTATTCTTTATTCTTCTAACTGCTAAACTTGGGATTAGTAAGATAGAAACAGGAAACCCTTCAGGCGATAGGAGGTACCTCCTGGTGTGCCCCAGTTCCTGCAAACTGAGTAGCACTGCAACGTGGCCAGGGTCTGTGGCTGCCCAACTTTTGTCCCGTACAGTCACACCACTGCAAGCAGCACGTGCTACACATGGAAAATATGAGAAATTGGTAGAAAAGTAACAGGGATTTTAAAATAGTATAGAATAAAATACTTCTGTATTTTTGCCAATAGGCAACAGAATGTGAGATTTCCACCTGTAAACTGTTCAGTGTGAGGCCTGCTACCACTCAGAGACTGCATGTTTCTGGAAGGTGTTGATTATTTACATTCCTTTCTTGCAAACTTCATCCTGGAAGCTGCTTCCTGTAAATAGTTTGTAATATAAAAATGAATGTATTTTCCTGATTGATGTCCGTGCCCAGCCAAAGGCACAGAAAGGGACAAAGTTATTTTGTCAGTCTTGTCATAGGAATGTGTGGACAGGTATTCCTGCAGAAATAAAATCTGTGGCTAAGCAGAATAAACTTTCCTATTAGAATAGTAACTCAGCACAAGAAATCTGTCTAACTGGGCTTTCACAAAAGTTAACAAAAACCCCTCCTGTTCAATGCTTCAGGTGGTGTTGTATTGTCATTATTAGGATATTTGGAACTAACACAAATGGAAGGATACTGTATTCCTTTCCGACTTCACCCCAAGAGGTACCACATTTCACCAACAAAAGTTTACTCTGGTGCTCACCAATACCTAAACTTGAAATTGTGATACATGTACATTAATGAAAATACGGGAACAGTATAATGTCTGTGTGTCTATAAACTTGGGGTTTTTTAACAGAAAGCC